GTTATTATACAGATAGATTTCTTATCGCTACTTATTTTAAGATTAGTCATGGTGATCTAGTGGTTAGCATACTATCCTAGTATTCAAAAGGTCCTGGCTCCATCTCAACCATCACTACTAACCGTAAAATAATAGAATAGTAAAGAATATATCAGTATAACAATGACCAGTTTCCTGAAGATGGGAGTAGAACGAATTCCTGAAACGCTATATATGTGAAATATACCTCAGACATTGGACAATGCCCAATATAATATTGGTGTCATGACAACCAGACATCTGGAGATGGTGTTAGATCCACCTCACGAAATCCTGTATACCAGACATGCCTTAAACATTTGGCAATGTAACCCAATTATTTGTAAGGTAGTTGAGTTGATATGGTGTTTGTGTCATTCACCCTGAACATCCCCTACCTATGATATAGATGTGCTGGGGAACTGTAATGCGACAGTGCTGTGTCTGTTACTACTTTGACCCCAAATTGGCCTATTATACTGACCCCAGACTTTGTATATAATGATAAATCCATGGAGACAATTAGCAGAATGATGAGTGAGGGGGGAAAACCAAAGTACTTGGAAAGAAACCATCGCACTGTCACTTTCTCAAACATGGATCACACATGAACTGAAACATCTGCAATGAGGAGCTTGTGACTAATTGTCTGAGTCATGGCATGGTGTATATTGGAAATTAATTTGGGAAGTAGAGTATTTTCAGTTTTTGTTACTGTGGTTATTGAAATCCGTTGAAATACTTAATGTGCGGAAGGCTGAGAAGAAATTTAAAACATGGAAACTGCACTCAGTGTTGTCTGAGTCTAAGAAATTCTGTTATATAACATTTTACCTTCTCTTCAATCAAGATACATTATGTTGTTAAATGGCTTTTAAAGTGTTCATACTGTATTATAATCATACTTCACTTTATGGCAGCCTGTCTTTCTATATGTATAATATATACTCTTTATAATTTATGTGCCATTTCTGATTTTTCAAGGTCATTCTCGGTGGTGGTAACAGAGAACAATATTTCTGTTTCGCAAGGAAAATAATGGTTTGGTTTTTTGCATGTTATATCTGGGCGGTTTTTTCTGTGTGCCATATTTTCATATAATGTAACAGGCAGATTCATCCTTCCTCAAACAAAACTTTCGTCTCTATATTATTTAAAATTTAGTTTATAGTTATATTTATTAACCATTGAAAAACCATGTTAGACACGTTATACTCTGTGAGGTTCAGTTACCAGTAGTCTGTTTAAATTTAAAAATTGTTGAACTCTGCCATATTTCAACATTGTGATATTCTGAATGTTGGTCAAGTTCAGCAAAGGATTCTATTCAAGGTTATCATGTTTACTCACATAGTTTATGCACCTCTACTTTCATAGAGACTTTAGAAGATTAAATACAGTATTTGCACCTTTGATAAAATTTTGACCAATGTATAATTTTCACAAGAAATGTGAAAAGTTCAGTTCATTGTGCCCACATGGTATGGAGATTTCTAATCATGTTTCCTGCAAAAAGTGTGAATCAGCGAAGATTTTTTCAAGGGGCATTTTTCATCTCAGTGTTCAGCAATGAATTGCATGGTGCAGTCAATAGGCAGGGATAGTTATGCTGTGGTGCCACATTAGATTAGGCTTTAACCATATTATCTGTAAAAAGTACATATTGGTTCAAATTTTTGGTGGGGGTAATTTTCATACCATTGTCAAACAACAAATAACATGGTATCCATAAGTGCAAATATCCATACCATTTTGCCACATCATTCACCTTTTATCGCATTTCCTGCAAAACTTGCATTGGTTAAAATTTTGTCATGCTGCATTTTCACTGCAAATGACCATCAAGTTCTCACATGGTGGAGTCTATAGGCAGGAATATCTGTACTATGTTGCCATATCACATTCAGCTTTAATTTCCTTAGTCTGATTTTTTAAAATTGACCCTGAAAAATAATACAAATGTTATGTACCAGAACTTTCAGACACAATTTTCTGGGTACGAAGATGCAAAAACTATGCAAGTAAATACAATACTTCACCTAAGTACATAAGCGACCACCAGGGATAATTTTAATCCTCCCAAGGTTACGTTTGTCAGAATTTTCAAATTAAGTCTCGTGCTGAACTGGAAATGATTTCTGTGCATTGAAAATAGACATTTGTATGTAATCTCATGCCACCTGTGATAAAAACAGATGCGTCATTAACCCTTTGAAGCATGAATATCATCTAAATAAATAAAATAAAATAAATAAAAATTTAGTTCATACCTCACTATGAGCGTGCTCTAGCTGCACTATAAAGACCATCCTGTCTAGGTAATTAGCCATTATTTATTGTGAGAATCAAATGAAACATATTAGTGTGCTGTTTGGACAAAATACAGGGTCTTGTTCATATTAGGGCAGGTGGTAACCAATGTGCTGTGAAGGGTTAAGTTACTTTTTTGTTTATATCACTAACACCTTTCAGTGATCTTTAATTCAGTAACTAACATAACAAACTCTTAATCCATATTTTGATAAATTTCACGGTTTGGTTGTGTACTAATGTAATATAAATGTTACAGATGCAAAACCTAAACTTTTAACAGCACAGACATGTCTTTTAATGCAGGTCCATCCCTGGAGATTGTACCTGAGACAGTGACACAAACAGGCTCTGTGCATCTCCATAACAACTTATATAAGAAAAGAGAATGTTATAAGTTAATATATCAAACAGGGTTTTGTAGAAATAATGCTCTAAATTTGTATTTTGGAAGTGCTTGGTTCGAATCACCCAGAGCACTGGCTAGGCCATGTCAGTTTCCTTCCAGAGCCTTTCTGTTTCATCATTCTACCATCCAATGCAATGCAACCTCAATACTGAAACCCTCTGTACATTAATAACTTTAGAACCAGGATTTCACATTCCTACTTATTATCATATTACATTATTGGTTGTGTACAGTTTAATGTGAACTGAACAGCAGTTCTAATTATAAATTTGTCTCTGATACTAGCACAGCCATATTTCTAGGTGACTGGTGCAACTTAAGTGTTTGGAGCCCCCACCCCAAATACAGTTATAGCTCACATTCCCTTATCCCACCCAGTGTCAACTGCAAACAACATAGAAGCGCGCCGCTCTGTTACTAGGCAGTGCTACTATGTGCAAAGCTGAGAATGGCAAATGTCAGAATTGCAAAGTTAAGTGGCTGAAGTGTAGAACCACAAGGTACTGGCTAACCTTGAAGTCACCATCTTATGGCAGTTTCTTCTGATTTTCTTCTTTATGATGAAGGTTAATGTAATATGTTGACAAAGTGAATAATATTTACAGTCAAATTCAGTCTCTGAAGGTAAAAGAGGGGAGGGGGCCTGGAGCTGTTGCCCTGTGCATAACTGATACCTCTTGTACCATGGTTTCTATGCACCTGGTCAGTGAATTATAATAAAGTGCATTTCCTCCTCCCATGTAATATTTGACTTGATTTAGGGGACAACTACAGTTGCTCCAAGCACTCAGACCACCACTGGTTCACTGTGCACTCTTGGTTTTTCTAGGTCCTTTCAAAGAACCCAAACTGTAATACTGAAGCCAGAACCATTTTGATTTGGGTCCTCCTGATATGCCAGCTCTAACCATGCAGACATCTGCCTTCTATACCAGGGCTGGGTGTTGACTGTATATGATAGAGAATTGTTTATTCTGTCTATACTTTCCTCCACCGGTCAATATCTAAGAGGCCCATAGCGGCCTCTGTAGTCTAGAGGTAATGTTCCCACCTTATGACTCGTAGTACATGGGTTCAAATACCCGGCGGAGGCCGTCAAATTTTTAAGGGCGGAAAAATTCAGGGAGCAAGTCCCCCGGGAGGGACTTTAAGCCGTGGGTCCCGCGTCGTAGCTTTACGGCATGTAAAAGAACCTCATATCTCCAAAGGAGGTCACTGAGCCAAATTACGGACGTTTCCCGCCCAACAGCAGTCTCTAATACCTCTGGCAGATGGGGGAAGCATTATAGATACCTCTCAGCTAGTAGAGCCGGTCTCACTGGCTGGGCGGGACTGATGGTAAGCACCAGTACCGGTAGGATATAGAGACTGGTAGAATATCATAGAAGGAAGCACAGTGGACCAATACAGGTCTAAGTGCATGGGGAAACCCACCCTCTCCAATAACTAACTAAGAGGCCCATGATGAGTAGGTGCCATCTCAGTGTACAGTGGCCAGTCAGTTACCATCCCACAGTGTTACTTGTTAAAGGACAGTTGGTTCCTAGACACTTTTATCTGTAGGTTCTTCGGTAAAGAGCTTTCCTATGTAATAAAGCTAGTACAACTCTTTAATTAAGATTAAAAGCTAGTACAAGTGTCTCTCAGATGTTGCAAGTAGCCAGTTACCCAGTTTCATTTGAAAACATAAGAGGGGAAATTCAATGATTTCTTTGAGTCATAGTTTTAATAGAAAAATGCATTCTCTCTACTTATGGGTAATGAGCTTCTCCAAAATCATGACTTAACATCATGGTCAAGTCGGTATTACTGTTGTTCCTTATTTGGGAAGTCTTGGGTTCAAACCTTGGTTCAGAGACCAGGTGTCTTGACTGATTTTTCTGGTTTCCTTCAGTCCCTCTAGAAAGATGCCAAAATAGTACCTCAAATAAGGCCACAACTGATTCTTTCTACATCCATTCCAGTTCATTGTTCACTAATCACCCTACCATTTGACGATACTATATAATCTCAGCTATTGAAAGTGCCACTAAGTAAACCAAGATTAAAAATCCCAGCGCGTCTGTCTCATGAACTCGAGGGATGGCCATGCTTGTACATAAAGTAATAGGTATGTCTGTACATCCTCTTATATACAAATGCTTGAGATCTCTTAATTTATTCATATGTTTCACTTTAATCATTTAGTTCAGTATATGTAAATCTGCAGGAACACATTTTAATATTATCATTCATATATTTACTATATTTTTTTTACATTTAGGAAGAAGAGTGAAGAATAAAATATGAATGCCATATCAGTGATGCAGTCAGCTTGGATTCAACAAGAAGATAAGCTGAAGGAATGTTTTGTGTACAGCATGTTACTTCAGAGCTAAAAGTGATCACATTTATTATTAGATGATTTTAATTAACATGTATGAGCTCTCCACTTCGTTTCACTCGACGGTTTTCTGACATATGACTGTAGATTATTTTTTAAAAAATGTGTGTGTGTACGTGCATGTGTATAGATACATACGTACTGTATTGAATGCCAAAGATTCTTCTGCATTTTTAATTGTTAATATTTGTACCCTTTTTTGGAGGGGTATTGTATTTCAATTCTTCCTTCATAAAATCTCCTTGAATTGCTTAAAAATGTTGCACTTACATCGAAATGCATAGCATGTATATTATGTTTAGTACATGTGTAGTTATACTGATTTATTTTATGTAGCACAGACTGAATACTCATAACTTTATATTTTTTATATATTTTGCATATATACAGAATTCATTTATCATGTAATTTCCTTTTTTATGTTAGAAGCTGTTTCATTTAATTACTTGAACTGTTTTAACCTGTTTATAATAGAGTGTGTATAGACATTTGATAAATACCAATAACACGAGCAGATGGACGCAGTCTTGGAAAGAAGTAGCCTCTACTTTTATAGCATAGAATATCTTTTCTGTTTATCTTGTGTACTGTTCAGGACCAGACATAGGAATGAGATTGACTGCATCTTACAGATCGGTTATATCAAGTCACAACAGTGCATTTTTTGGTACATATACGATCTACATCTTTCGCTCATAGAGAAGTTAGTAAAATCAGTGACCGAAATTTTTCACACCAGGTCAGGCCTGTTCATGGATAGAACTGAATGACAGTTGATCTGATCTGGTTTGGGCAGATTCTCCACTGGGAATGTCTGCATGAACTTTATCACACTCTTTGTGTTTGCTTTAACTTGCTCATTCTGTTGCACAACTTGCTGTTGACTGTGACTGGTCATATTCACTAGCACTGCCTTAAATTGACTTCATTTGAACAGCCTTCATATTGCTGTTGAGACTATTAACCATGTTGCATGTTTTTCCCTATGTAAGATGTTCAATACCAGACATAAGATTCTCAGGTACATGTCACCAGTGATCAGAGAGTTTTAACATTGTTTATATTCATTATTTTTAACACTTTCCAGTGCAAAAATAATTGCTTGGGTTGTAAATTCTTTCCATTTAAAATTATCTTCATTTCAGTCAAAGCTGTTGTAATTTGTCATTTTACTACACTTTTATGGAGCTGGTATAATGAAGGGCTACAGGTTAGATGGCCAGGGTTCAATTCCTGGCAGGGACAAGAGATCTTTCTGTTCTTCACAGTGTGCACACTGGCTCTGAGGCCCACCCAGTCTCCTATCCAGTGGGTACCAGGGGCTCTTGCCCCAGGAGTAAAGTGGTCAGGGCTTGAAGCTGACCACTAACTTCCATTTAGTATCAACGTCAAGGATGACGGAGTCATACCTCCATTCCACCATACATCTTCAAGGCATGATGCTTAATTAATTAAGCACAAGAACACCTTTACCTTTTTATTGCACTTGTATATCCTCACACTTTTATGCCAGTTAAATAAACATGAGAACATTGGCACGAGCAGTAATTGTATTTAGGAGGTACCCATTCAGGTCTTTGTCAGGACACCGGGTATCCTGAATGAGGTTTTTGTGGTTTTCTTCAGTTCCTGCAAATAAATACTGGGTTTATACCTCAGATTAGGTTTTCTTCAGTTCCTGCAAATAAATACTGGGTTTATACCTCAGATTAGGACACAAGTTCACCCTTACACATCCTCTTCCCCCCCCTGGCACTACAGCCCCAGTGGGCCTAGGCCTACCTCCATGAACTTCTCCGTTCACTTCGGTTTTTCTAGATCTTAGACATATGGTAGGACTCCTTGGGCGGGTGATCAGCTCGTCGCAAGGCCTCTACCTGTACACAAACACAGAAAAACGCATACAGACATCCATGCCCTGAGTGGGATTCGAACCCACGATCCCGGCTTCTGAGCGAGCGGAGACAGTGCATGCCTTAGACCGTTCGGCTACCGTGACCGGCTTACACATCCTCTATAATCCATTATTCACTACTAATCCTGCCATTTGATGCTTTAGCCCTTGAAGTAAAAAATCAAATTATAATCGCAGTATGCAGTGTAATGCATATCGCAGTGAAGTTCCAAGTTAAAAGTGAAATGTGTCTATCAAGAGGCTCATTCCCTAATTTGTGATGTGTTCGTAGAGCAAGATTTTGACTGATGGGTGTATACTCTCACGTAGAATCATCACATATTACCTCACAAACTAATTGAATTTTCTGTCCATGTCAGAAAAATATTCTCAGTAAAACCACTTTACCCCTAATTGAAAGTTGTGTCTTGCAGCACCTAAGAACATTTTACATCAACCTAATAAATTATGTGAATATGTTAAATTATAATCTTTAGAAAAACATTTCAGATTTTGAGTTGTAAAGCCCCCAAAGTTTGTGAATTATTCCTGTTGACTTTATGTTTCAATGTCCCCAGAAAGAAGAATCACACATTCAGATCCAGGGAACCTGGTGTTCGTAATCGTGTACCGATCATTCATTCATTGAAAACAGCCTGCAGAGCACATGTTGATTATTGTGGTTTGTTCACTTTCCTACTCCAATTTTCTACAAGAAATGTATGTTGTGGGACTTGAGGTTCTCATGGCAGTGATTTGAAAGACTGCTGTCTTCTGGGATATAAAGCCATCTTGTCTAATAAATGTTTACTAATATATGTGCCACCCTAAAAATGGAAGCAGCACATTCCTCCAAAACTTTAATAACTTTCTACCAGTCTACACATCATCACATCACAAAAGATAGTAATCTTCAGAAATAGATTTTGTTTAATATTGTAATGGAATAGACCATTGCTAGACATTGGCTCACTATAAGCATATTTCGTAGCAAGGAATATGCTTGTATAAATTTAAGTGTTGCCTCAAGATTGGCACACGTTCCCTGGCTCTGAATATGTGTTATTTTGTTCACTGGGAGATTTTTAAAAACCATATAGAAATAATCCAAAGACCTTATAGATCACAGTTCATAATGTTATTCCATAAATCAGTGATGCTAAACTTCATTATGTGTCACAGAATTTATTACATTTGTGTGAAATATGGTTGAACACTTAGCAGTTATTGTGATATTAGATAAGTAGAGCGGTTTTATCGAAAAAATTTATCAAGTATGGAGGCAACCTCTTTATAGTGTGTAGTAACATGTGATAATTTGTCTGAGAAGTTGCCCACAGGTCCATATTTCTTTCTGTGAACATGGGGCAGTAAGACCACAAATGAAGGGAAGTACCTCTATTTACATTCAGGGACTGTTAGATTTTTATGAAAGGAGAAAAGCAATAAGAATTAAGTATTTAACTGAGACATTCCACTTATAAAAATGGACCAAAGATTGAAAGAAATAAAGATTTTCTAAAATGTCCAAATTAATATATTCTTTTCTCCTCCAAACTTATAAATAGAAATATTATATTTTCTCTGTTCAGCTGTCCAAGAACATTGTGTTAAGGATATTAACCTCTTGTTATCCATACAATGAATTACTGGGTTCAAGCACTGAGTGGTCCAGCTGGCTCAGGGTTGCATTATTTTTAATTTGTTTACCATTACCACCAAGTTAAACTGTATGCCATACCTGTGGGAACCAGAGATTTAAAGTCCTCTATTCCTTGACAGTAAACTGTTACCCCTGAATTAAGATGTTACTGCAATCCCTATATGACTGGGAGATTTAAAAACTCCTATTCTTCTTGGATGTGGGTATTTATTAATGTCTTTTCTACCCTGAAGATGAGCAGCAGCATGTTCCTCCTCCAAAGCACTGGTAACTTTCTACCAGACTAAACAGCGTAGTATCCCAGAAATGTATGATTCCAGGGTATTTAAATCCTCCATTCCTGGAAAATAAACATCACATGTGTCATGGTATGGAATCATTCTGTCTGAAATGAGTGAGATTTTATTAAAAGAATGTAGAGTCATTTTAGAGAAAACATCCACTTCATAAAGTACTCTTTGATTTACTTGTGCAGTGCTAGGTTCATGGCCATTGCACATCTTAAGAAAGTATAAACACAGGCACCAAATGGAAACAAAATTTGCTGAGAGCCATTTAGGCACTATAGAAGTGCACAAACAGCATCTGAAATACCATGTATCCTTTTTATACTTCAGGTACATTAAAATCTATAGGGTAATTTTTTTTTTTTACGTGTGTGAGAATGACAAAAGAAATCTGCATGACTATAATTAACAGGATTCATAAAACAACTATGCTGTTTAACAAATTTTTTGTCTCATCGTGAAACAACCAAACGTGTTTCCCAAGTAGTTACACTTCTGACTTTTATTTGGTCAGTGCCCAGCTTGTATCTGAACCAGGACACGCAGTATCCTGACTTAAGTTTTTTGTGGTTTTATTCAGTTCCTCCAGACAGGTTTAGGTCCAGTAAATTGCTGCTGGCTCTTGCCAGCACAGTCATTCTTGGTTTCGGATGCTGTTGGGACCCATGACCAAATTTTTGTTCATTCCAAGACCATTTATATCCTGGAATGTTCCTCCAGCCAAATTTTAGGATGGTATCTTAAATCAGGCCACAGCTGCTTCTTTCCATTGATCGTTTTTATCCATTCATTCTATGCTGTATGGTCTTGAGGTACTGACTTTCATTACCTAACATTTCTTATACATTTGCAGATAAAAAACTTCTTCTGAGACCATCCATAGTAGAGAGCATATGCCTCTGTTCAATCTTTTGAATACAGCTTGTACCACATTCATCATAATTCATGTTATTCCAGACATTATTTTTGTATTAATGCTGTTTTAATAAGTTAATAGCAAGAACAGGGGATGTTAAAAATAGAAATATGACGTAAGTTGACTAAAAATTAGTACGTACTGCACACTGAATCAGTCAGGTGAATAAGCAGAAAGTCAAAATCAAGATAGGTAACACAAC